GCAGACGTCTCAATCCCAATTAGCCGGTTATAATAGTGTTTCTACAAGCGCAGCTGCCCGGACTCGGCACCCAAACCCACTTGCTGGGCACCGTGGGAGGCACTGCTGAGCCCCAAGGATACCCCTGCCTGGCTGGCCTCACCCTGCAGTGGGCACCCCCATTCTGCCACATCCCCCTCCGCCATCTTGGCCCTCTTAGAGGCATCTTAGGGTGATTGGGCCCCTCCAGCCACAGCCCTGTACCCCCAGGCACCTGGGAGGAAATAGAGCCGGGTGCCCTTCCAGGCAGAGGCAGCACAGCCCCCAGGCAGGAGGGGCAGCTGGGGCCTCTTGGCCTCCAGCCCTGGCCTCCCCCTTGCCCCACAGTTGTTCCAGGCAGGAAGGTGGGCAGTGCCAACCCTGGGGGTGGTGAGACCTGAGCCTCCCCAAGGGGCAGTGCCTGTCCAGTGCTGGGACAGGGGGCACAATACTGTCCCCAGAGCTAGCAGGTGGTCATTGAGGCCCATCCAGGACACTGTAGCCCTCAGTGGGGGCCAGTGAGCCGGGGCCAGGGCTGGCGGCCAGGAGGGGCGGCTCTGAACAGAAATGAAGCCGAAAGGACCCCCCAGGGGACAGGCCATCTGTCAGCTTGGGGCAGGTGCTGGTTCCGGGAGCTTTGGAGAACGAATCTGCCAGCCTGCCCGCCGCCCTCCCGGAGATCCCAGGCCAGGCTCCCCATGCTACTTGGGAGGCTGAGGCACAGGAATCACTTGAACCAGGGAGACAGAGGTTGCAGTGAGCCGAGATTGCACTATTGCACTCCAGCCTGGTGACAGAGCAAGACGCTGTCTCAAATTAAAAAAAAAAAAAAAGAAAAGAAAAAGCACTTGACAAAATTCAATGCCCTTTCATGATAAAAATGCTCAAGAAGCTATAAATAGAAGGAAACTACGTCATCATGATAAAAACCGTCCATGAGAAGTGCACAGCAAACGTCATGTTCAGTGGTGAAAGGCTGAAAACTTTTCCTCTAAGATCAAGAACAAGAAAATGTGTGCGCTCTTGCCACTCCTATCCAGCACAGTTAGGACTGGAGGTTCCAGCCGGACCAGTTAAGCAAGAAAAAGAAATGAAAGGCATTCACAATGGAAAAGAAACAGTAAGACTGGGCGTGGAGGCTCACACCTTGTAGTCCCAGCATTTTGGGAGGCCAAGGCAGGTGGTTTGGGAGGCCAAGGCCTGAGGTCAGGAGTTCAAGACCAGCCTGGCTAACATAGTCCCCAGCTGGGACTACAGGTGTGCACCACCACACCTGGCTAATTTTTTGTATTTTAGTAGAGACGGGGTTTCACCATGACCAGGAAGGTCTCGATCTCCTGACCTCGTGATCTGCCCGCCTCAGCCTCCCAAAGTGCTGGGACTACAGGTGTGAGCCACCGGGCCCGGCGGTCAAATGCTTTTTCTCCCTCAGTTGAGTTGATCCCATGTTTTCTGTTCTTCCTTCTGTGAATGCAGGGTATCACACTGATCGAATTTTGTAGTTAACTGATCCTTGCATTCCAGAAATAAATCCCACTTGATTATGGTGTACAAGCCTTTCCATATGCTGCCCCATCGCTACCGAAAATACAAAACTCAGCCGGGCGTGGTGGCCAGAGCCTGTAGTCCCAGCTACTCGGAAGGCTGAGACAGAAGTATCTCTTGAACCCGGGAGGCAAAGGTTGCAGTGAGCCGAGACTGCGCCACTGCACTCCAGCCTGTGCGACGGAGCGCGACACCATTTCTTAAAAAAAAGTTTGAAAAGACTGTTTTCCCTTTTTTTTTTTTTTTTTTTTTTTTTGAGAACTCTGGAACCAGGTTCATCTCCTCGGCTCCTGGGGTCTCTTGAAGGAGGATGACGGAGCCTCCCTTGGGGGGCTGCTGTGGCAGTTGTCTGAGACCCCTGGGGCCCGGCCGATGGCAGATGACACTGTTATTATATTCATTGTCACCTGTCACGTATCATGTGACCGTCACCTTCATTAGTGGGGACAATACCCTCACACCTCCAACATGAGCAGGCTACCACAGCCTACATCAGGGGCCTGGTGGTCCTGTGGCCTCCATAGAAAGCCAGGGCCCCTGCCCCAGCAGACAGTGCCATCCCTGGCTTCTTCACAGACCTGTCGTGCCCAGCATGACCACCCCACAGGGACGGGGCTCTCACCACCACCCTCCCTGGCAGAAAGTGACTGTGCCCTTGGTACGCAGAGCCAGCCAGCGATCACCCAGGCCCTCCCTGCTCACCACCGGGGAGGAGCCGTGGTTTGGGAGGCTGGTGTGGCATGGAGAAGCTTTGTCATATATGAATCTGGAGCCTCCCCACCCCCACCGGCCTGCAGGCTGTGCTGTGTCCCTTCCACCAGGCCCAAGCCCCAAGGTCGGGCCAAAGCACCCACTTGGCTGTCCCTTCAGACCCCACGCATGTGCCTGGCCCTGCTGCCTGTTTCCTGTACCTCAGCTGGGAGGGCAGGGTCCCCAGCCTCAGTCTCCCTGCACCCTCCACTAGTCCGAAGCCCCTCCCGCTGCACACAACCCCCTGCACTGGAGGCCTGAGGCCGGGGTTCCAGCCCCGTGACCTCAGGCAGCCCCCAGCCTCTCTGACCTCCCCGTGACCTCAGGCAGCCCCCTGCCTCTCTGACCTCAGGCTTTCGGCTGCCATCTGCCCCTCCGACCTTGCGCACCCTGGTGCCTGCTCCCTGGTGCCCTCTGCTCCTCCCTAACCCCACCCCAGGTTTGGGGAGGCCAGGAGCTGCAAAGGGTCAGTTTGCCCAGCCGGTGTGGACTCACCAAGTGCCTTCGAGCCCCTGGGAGCTTCCCATGCCAGGCTGGAGTGCCGGGGAGGGGCGGGGACAGCTGCAGACCCAAGATGTAAACAGGCGTGCAGGTATAAAAGCTGAAGCCCCTGGGCTTCAGCCTAACCCACCTTCCAGAGCTCCCGAAAGAAACCCGACAGAGGTAAGCCCTGCCGGAGAGGGGGCGTGGGCCCTGGCCACTGAGGTTGGATGGTAGTCCGGGCTGGATGGTGGGAGCTCGGGGCGTCCTCTTCGTCCACAGGACAAAGGTGGCCCTGGGAGACCCTGGGGGGGCCCAGGGGAGGTGGGGAAAGGGGTGGGAGGAGGAGGAGGGACCCTCCCTCCCAGCAGCACCACTATGAGCCTCAGGGGAGCCCGGATGGAAGACAGCTGTTCGTGTCTGGCCCTACAGGGCACACGTGTGTGTGCATGTGTGTGCTGGTGTAAGCCTCTGTGGGCATGGCTGCAAGAGGTGGCTTCGAGCTGGGGCCTCCTCGTGGGGAGCTGGACTTGCTCACTCTGCCCCTAGGCACCCAGGCTCAGAGTGGGGACGGGGATGAGGTGGGGCTGGCAGGGCAGTGGGTCCAAGGCCGGACTCCAGCAGGTACACAGAGCCGGCTCTGGTCCCCTGCCTTGCCCCGACCCAGAAGGACCCCGCTGTCTCCATCACCCCTTCCCCTGAGAGACGTCTCTCACCTCAGCATCTGTGCTTGGCGACTGGGTGGCAGAGGCTAGCTGCTCTGGGGAGACCACAGCCTCCACGGGTGGAAGGTCTGCAATGGTCCAGGCAGGGCATCCCAGATGCAGCAGTGCTGGGGTGGGGGTGGGGTCTGAGAAGTCTTAGCCCAGCCTGGAGGCTCTAGGAGCTCCAGCTGTGGGGGAGGGTAAACGGAGTGGAGAGAAGAGGCCTTTCAGAGGAGACGGGAGGCAGCGCCTTTCCCAGCACTGAGGGCAGCCTCCAGAGTCCAGGCAGGGCCCAAAAATAGCTTGAGTGGTATCTCGAAGCCTGCCCCCGCTGGATACCCCAGCTCACTCTGGGGTCCCGTGAAGCTCCAGCCCAGGCTGGGGGTGCAGGAGCAGCCTGGAGCAGCTCTGTCTGCTATCAGCTCCAGCCTGGAGCTTGGGCTCCCCTGCCTTCAATGAGGGCACCCTGAGAGCAGTGGGGTGGGGGGTGGTGACCAAGCCCAGCCCAGAGGCATCCCCAGTGCTCTACAGACAGGACGTTGATTCCTGGCCCAGCCCCTCCTCTGTGAAGCAGGTGACACTGGCCCCGGGTGGAAGGCAGGTGTTCTCTTCCAAAATGGTTCCCCAAGATGCCAGGGCAGGGGGAGGGGAACCAGAGTCCCAGCTCTGAATGAAGCGGGGCAGGGCCGGTCCTGATCCTGAGGGCCTCTGAGGCCCAAACCTGCCCCACGTGCCCGCTCACCACCGCCCTGCTGGCTGGGGGAATTGGCCACTGCAGGGACTGGGGGCCGAAGCTCCAGCCTCACGCAGCAGGTGAGCCCTCTCCCAACCATCTCCCTTCCCTCCTGCCTCCTCCCACAACCCCGTGAATGGGGCAGGCGTCTCCCCACATCATGTGGCAGGTAGAGGCACTATGGTTTGGGGAGCAGGACCTGGTCCAGGGTTGCAGCTGGCACCCCTCGAACTCCCAGGCCACCAGGGTTGGGCTGCAACCCTTGACCTATGGCTCCCCTATCCCAAGAGCAGAGGCGCCTCTGGCCACTGCTCAGCACCACTCAAGAACCCGGGCTGCCCCTCCTGGCAGCAAGAGCATGTTCCAGAAGGCTCTACCACCCCGTGAACTTTCAGGAGGGCCAAGAAGCCTGGGACACCCGCTGCCTGTTGAGCTCTGAGATAGTTGCTGTGCTGAGCCCCAGAACCCAACCCCCCCTGGGGACAGCAACCCGAGAGCCCAGCAGATCACAAGGCGCTGCTGTGAGGGGCACGGGACGGCCCAGACCCACCCGCTGGCCCCTCTGCCTGTGCCCAGACCCCCACCTGCCTGGCTGGAATCCCAGCCTGCCTCGGGCGCCCTGGCACACCAACACTGTGACGCCTGTCACCGTTCCCACTTTAAGGCAGGACCTAGCCCCATGCAGGCTCTGCGTCTGCTCTGGCCCAAGCAGCACCCCAAATCTGTGCGTGTACCCCACGAATTGACTCCCTATCCACCCCAGGGCCAGGATGGATGAGGACTTCTCCTCCCAGATGAAGAAGATGGCCTTGGCCATGGGCACATCCCTGTCAGACAAGGACATTGAAATGCTACCCACCGACATGAGGCACCACGGTACAGCACGCCCCACCCGGCACAGCCCCCACCCATCCAGCCCAGCTGCGGTCAGGGGACCTCACCCCTTTTCTGGGGCTGATGGGTCCAGGACACCCACTGCAGTGGGTGGGGACATGGGGTTGTGGGACCTGCAGCGAGGGGTGGGGGGAGGGCAGGGATGTGGGGAGCGGGACCTGCGGAGGCGGGACATGGCGGGTGGCGCGGTACCTGCAGGGGCAGGGATGTGGGGGTGTAGGACCTGCAGGGGTGGGGACGTGGGGGTGCGGGACCTGTGGGGGTGGGGACTTAGGGCAGGAATGTGGGGGGAAGGACCTGCAGTGACGGGGACCTGGGGTGGGAGGGACCTGCGGGGGTGGGCACCTGGGAGCGAGGCCCAGCAGCCCCATCCCAGGGCAGCTCTTCCCTGTGGCCCCACCTGAGTGGGGTGGGCCCTCGGTGACCCAGCCTGGTTGCCCCAGGGTCCTTCAACTACCTCAAGTTCTTCGAGCACATGAGTAAGTTCCGCGCCCTGGGCCAGCTGGACGCTGCCATCCGCAAGGCCTTCCAGGTCCTGGACAAGGACAAGAGCGGCTTCATCGAGTGGAACGAGATCAAGTAATGGCCGGCGGCGGGAGGGCTGGGGCCCAGGCTCCCAGGAGCCCCGAGTGCTCACCCGGCAGACCCGGCCTTCCCCCACTGGGTCCCCGCCGGCCTTGTGGCAGGCAGGGCTGAGCCAGAACCAGCTAGAGGCCCAGGAAGCCCAGAGGCCCAGGCACCCGGCCCCCAGTGCCCTCGCCTACATAGTGAGGGGAACGGCTGGAGCCACTGGGCACTGGCCGGGAGCCCCTCGGCCCTGACTCCAGCCCCCTTGGCCCCAGGTACATCCTGTCCATCATCCCCAGCAGCGGGCCCACAGCCCCGCTGACAGACGAGGAAGCTGAGGCCATGATCCAGGCGGCGGACACAGACGGGGACGGAAGGATCGACTACGAAGGTGGGGCCCCCTCCGGACTGTCCTTACCCGGCCAGGCCGTCACCGTTGCCCATGGCCCCACCCCAAGGGCACCTGCACCCAACCGGCAGACGAGGAAACCCAGGCTCAGGGGTCTGTGCTGGGAGCCGAGGGGCTCTTCCTGGGGCCAAGGATCCCACTGCAGAGAGGTGGCTGGGAGGGCTTTGGGAAGGCCGGCTGTGGTGGAGCCGGCAGGTGTGGGGTCTCGGGTTCGGGGCTACATCTTCTGGGAGGCCCAGGGTCTTCGAGGCTCTCCATGGCTGCCCTGAGGTCTGGGCCATCTCACCTCCACCCAACCCCATCTGCTGGCCATAGGCCTGGAGGGCAGAGGGCACACAAGGTGGGCTGGGCTTCCAGATGCACCCTGCCCAGCCATGGCCATTGCAAGCCTGCAGTCCCCAACTGGGGTCAACCCATGAAAACCAGGCAGCCGGGCCCAGGGCACGGGACCCCAGCCAGACAGGCTGGAGGCCTGCTCCGCACTGAGGGGCTCAGGGACAGGACCCTCTGGACCATGCAGTCCAGTGCTGGCACACTCCCTCTGCCTCCTCTGAGAGTTAAAAGGCCTGCAGGGATTGGGGGACATGAGACAGGGGTACTTACTAGAAATTGGTCTGTTGCTCTAGAATTTTCTGAAATGATCAAAAAGGAGAAAATTCCAAAAAAGAAGTAGCACCATGACCAGCCCTGGCCAGCCGAGGGGCTCCTATGGGGTAACTTGGGGTGACCACGTCCCCGGGCAGAAGTCGCTGGGGCCTGTAGGAGGAGGCAGCCTCGAGAGTGGACCCAGCTCTTGCCAGAAAATGGAAGAAAAGCAGCATTAAGTGAATGACGCAGCCTCGTGTGTCTTTTGGGAGTGCTGGTGTGAACTGGGGTGGGGGCAGTATCAGGGCCATGGGTGACGACAGCTGGGGGGCAGGGTGGGCAGGTGAGGGGTAGGAGGAAGATGGCCTTCTTCCATCCCTGAGCCCGACCTGGCTGTAAGCAGCCCCGAGGGCGACCTTGCCTCGAGGTTCCATGCAGGTGGGACTCCCAGTCAGCAAGTACATGGTGCTCTCTGGGCCCAGACCCCTGAAGGGCCCCTTCCCAATCTGCAATGGGCCTGGCCTGGGGCCACTTGGGGCCACACCTCCCCACACTTCACACAGCAGCTGCCTGAATGTGTTATGGGGACACCTGCAGCCCCCAGATGCCCCCTAGTTTCAGGCAGAAGCACCCAAAGCCCGTCCTCCGCCCCCATCTCCTACCTGCTCAGGCTCCCGGGCTGGCCCTTCTACCTCTGGCCATGTCTCCCTCCGTGGTGCTCCTCTCCCTGCTTAGTACTTCCAGCGTGACCCCAGCCCAGCTCTTGGGCCTCTGTCCCCCTGACAGTCACTTGCCTAGAACTCCCCATCTAGTGGCCTAAGGACCCCCAGACCCCAGGCCCTGTGTGGGAGGAGCAGCAGGGGCTCCTTGGTGCCATTTGTGGATGTGGGCATCAGCCTGCAGCAGCTCACTGGCCACACAGGACTCCAGGCTCTCTGGGCTGGTGCCACTTAAGGCGCTGGGGACCTGAGTCCTGGTTCGCCCCAGAAGGGAAGACACCTGCCCATCAGGGGAGCCCTTGCTGGGCTTAGGGGAGCCAGAACGGAGCTGCTCCAGGGGCGAGCGAGGCATTTGTTGGGGTCAGTTTGTCGCAGTGGCAAGAATGAGGCTGACTCACACCATCCTCACGGCCCACCCGCAGGTAACTACTTGGGGAGCAGGACCTGGTCCAGGGCTGCAGCTGGTGCCCCCCAAACCCCCAGGCCGCCAGGGTTGGGTTGCAACCCTTGACCTAGGGCTCCCCTATCCAGAGAGCAGAGGCCCCTCTGGCCACTGCTCAGCCCCACTGGAGAACCAGGGCCACCCCTCCTGCCTCCATCTCGAAATACACAGAGCCCGAGCCCCCGCCCACAGCACCCCGCCACAGTCACTCTTGCCTGGGCAGCCACCACGGTCTCCCGGTTGGTCTCTCCACCTCCACCCTCTGAAGGTCCATTCTCAACTTGGTGGCGGGAGGCCTCCTGGGGCCCTCCTCTCACACAGGGTGAAGCCAGGCCCTAGGGGCCTCACAGGCTGTGGTTCCCACTTTCCCTCGGACCTGAGACCCCCACACCCCGCCCCCCCATGCAGCCACGGGGCTCCCCCACTTCCTCAGCTAGGCACCAATCTGCTCCAGGGCCTTTGCACGGTGGGCCCTCAGCTCAGCACGCTCTTCCCTAGACATCCCGCTACCAGACAGACTCCTCCTCCTCCGATGTTTTCTGCAAACGTCATATCCCACGAGGCCGTCTTCACCTGCCCTATGTGGCATGTCACTCACCCTCATCAGCATCCTGCATCCCCCTGGACCGGCTCTTTTCCCCAAAGCACTCCCCGTCCCCTAATACGCTGACACTGGCGTACGTACTGCATTAATTATGAGCAAAGCGTGGGTGCTGAAATCCAGAGTGAGTGCGCCCCATTGGGCATCTGCCAGTCAGTAGCAGGGCTGAGGGGCCGCTGGGTAGCCTCCTGGTGTCCAGAGCCTGTCCAGGAGAAGGGGCTTTGGCTGTAGCTGCTATGGGCTACCCAGTCGGAGTATGAACAGCAGAGAGCCGACCTCACCAACTGGAGGCCGCCCTCACAGTCAGACCCTGCCCCTCCCTCCCAGCCAGAGCCACATTGAGCATGAAGGACAGGGGGCTGGCAAAAGTCAGTCCCAGGGCCAGATCCAGCCCCACACTGGCCAAGCCTGGTTTTGGAAGGTCTGGGACAGTTTCGTCTTCACTGTCCTTAAAGAGGCTGTAGGAAGTTTGAAAATAAGAAGTGGCTGGGTGCACTGGCTCACGCCTGTATCCCAGCACTGTGGGAGGTCAAGGCAGGTAGATCACTTGAGGCCAGGAGTTCAAGAACAGCTGGCCAGCATGGCAAAACCCCATCTCTACTAAAAATGCAAAAATTACCCCGGCATGGCAGTGCTAGCCTGTAATCCCAGCTACTCGGGAGGCTGAGGCATGAGAATTGCTTGAACACAGGAAGTGGAGGTTGCGGTGAGCCAAGATCACACCACTGCACTCCAGTCTGGGTGACAGAGTGAGATTCTGCCTCAAAAAAAAAAAAAAAAAAAAAAAAAAAAAAAAAAAAAAACTCCGAAACAAAACAGAGACAACAGGGTTTCATCACGTTGCCCAGGCTGGTCTCAAACTCCTGGGCTCAAAAGATCTGCCTAGGCTGGGTGCAGTGGCTCATGCCTGTAATCCCAGCACTTTGGGAGGCTGAGGTGGGCAGATCACCTGAGGTTAGGAGTTCAAGACCAGCCTGCCAACACGGTGAAACCCTGCCTCTGCAGAACACACGTAATTTTAAAATACGTAAAGCATTTACACAAACTGTCCAAACACTGGGTCCTAAAGCAAGACTCAGTCAAGAGGAAGGACTGAAATAATATGGAACATCCTCTGACCACAGAGAAGCTAGAAGTTTAAAAATAAAGGAAGCAATGCAGTTCTAAACAGCTATGGCTCAAAGGGACCAGCCTGCAAATTAGAAGCTGCTTTACACCTAAGAATAATGACAATACAACGTGCCAACTTGTGGTCGCAGCTCAGGTGGTGCCTTGAAGGAAATTCATGGACTTAGATACACATACAGGAGAGGAAAAAGGCTGGGAACCACTTCTCCGTGTCCTTCCCAAGAGATTACAAGGGCAGAAAAGGAACCGGGCGGAGGGGACAGAAAGCAAGGGTGGACGTTCCGAAACGTTAAAGGTCTTGCTTTCTGTCCGTCTCCTCTGCTGGAACGTAAACCCCTCGAGGGCTGGGTGGTCTGGTCTGATCGTGGCTGTACCCCAAACTCCAGACCTGGCATGGACAGAGCATGAGACTGTCTCACAGAAGCAGGCTCTGCCAGGGAGAGAATGGAGCATGAGGGTGGCGAGCTAGGTGGGGTAGAGTGAACCCAGCTAGAGTCCGTTTGTGCTTCTAAGGTCTGGCCCCCACCCCAAAGCCCTCCCCTCACCCCCAGCAGCCCACCAACCTGGACACGTGACACAGCTGAGGGAAGGGAGCCCAGCTTTCTTAACGGTAGAGACTCGGGGTGCCCCACACAGTGGCTCAGAAACCCCTCCATCCCCCTGGGGACCCCCACAGTGTCTTGCTGGGTGAAGCCCAGCTCTGGCTTACTGTCTGTTGGGCACTAGAATTACCTAGAGCAGAAGGAGCTGGAAGGCTGAGGCAATAGGTTTCACCTGGGCCTCTCCCGGAATGCTGGAACCTCACGGCCGCCCCGGAAGCACAGAGCCACCCCCTGCCCACCCCACTCCCAGCCTCCCAAGCTCCACTGCCCGCAGGGAGGAGAAATGGCATCTCAGCCCCCTCCCTCAGGCACCCCTGTCCAGGTGAAGCCGCCTGGCAGACACGCCTTCCCTGTGCTCCAGCCTCTCAGGAACACGTGAGGCCACGCGGCTGGAGGGCAACACGGAGACAGGAATGAAACACGGCCCCAGTCCCTTATGTCAAAAGCGAATCATCTTTCTTGTATGTGACAACTAAAATTTGAATTCACCAACAGGCTGGGCATAGTGGTTCGCACCTGCAATTCCACTTTGGGAGGCTGAGGTGGGGTGATCACTTGAACCCAGGAGTTTGAGACCAATCTGGTCAGCACAGTGAGACTGTCTCTAGAAAAATTAAAGTTACAGTAGCTGGGTATGGTTTCCCACTACCAGGCAGTCCCAGCTACCTGGGAGGCTGAGGTGGGAGGATCAACTTGAGGCTAGGAGTTCAAGGCTGCAGTGAGCTATGACTGCGCCACTGCACTCCAGCTTGGGCAGCAGAGCAAGACCTTGTCTCAAAAAATAAAAATTGAAAAATTAACAACAATGAAAACAAAACCCAAGAGATGCAGCGATCCAGAGGCGGCCCCAAATGCAAAAGGTTCACCACATGCCCTTGTGAACAAACAAATGAAGGTCTCAGGAACGCGGGAGAAATGAGTGAACAAACGAAGCCCGTCAAGCAGGGGCTGGGGAGCCAGGGACCCCCTGGCTGCAGGTCACACCTGCTTCTCCCTCCTTTTCTGGCCAAAACGAGTATCTGGACTATGTCCGTGTTGGGGCATTTTCCCAACCTCACCCCTGAGGTCCTGAGCTCCCCCAGCCTAGGCCTGGACCTGGGAACCTGGAGCGTGTTGAGAGGGACCCAGGGACCTGCACCCCCTGCCAGGGAGCAGACCCACACCAGCTACAGGACAAAGCCCATCTCACACACACCGCTGGTCACCAAAGCCCGCATGGAGACCAGGGACAACGTCACCTCTCCCCGGGAAGGGTAAAAACCAAGGCAGGCCTTGTGTCCAGGGCAGCGACTTGGCCAGCAGGATGGCGCTGGGCAGGGGAACCTGAGCCTGGCCGGCCCCTCCTGGGGGAAGGCAAGCCTCGGGCAGGGTCTCGGGGCAGGCCTGGGCAGCCAGCAGCACCTCTGCTCCACGGGGGGCTTCCCAGGACCACAGGCACCGGCACCGCGGCTGCTGCAGCCAGGAAGGTCCTAGCCAGGCTGCAGGTGGGAAGACTGAGGACTGGCACCAATGCTGGGACGGTGTGGTGTGGCAGCCAGAGCGACCTCAAAGCCAGGTCCCAGGATAGTGCAGCCTGCTCAAAGACCCTCGTCACCC